TTAACCACTACACCTTCTGCTCACTCTCCCGGCTGCCCCCTATCGGCCTGTGAGCGTGGTGACAGTAAGATGACATACAGCGCCTTGGTATGGCGCAACAAATGCTAGCTGTGAATTCCACGTGCCCTGGGCCTGAGCGTTGCTGCTGAACGTGCGCTCGCCGACGGCGATGCCCCCGCCGCTGCTGTTGCTGCATTGGCCGTGGTGCACAAACAACCGTTGGCGCCCTTCTCTCCTGAAGCCCTCTCGTCGTGGCGAGCAGCAGCAGCAGCAGCGGCGGCAGAAGCTCAACATTGTCATCAAGCCGTCACAATGCTAATAAGTAGAATATGTTAAGAATTGTATCTAAAATATTCCCTTTGCTCATTTTAACTAGTTATACAAAAGTAATGCGAAGCCTGACTGAACATCATCGTCGACATCATCGTCATCATAATTAATCGATTTTATCAACGTCATTAAACATCATCGTCCTCCGTAATGTTAAATACCTCGCCTGGCATACAGGCGGTCGTGGGTTCAATACCGCCGACCCTGACTATGCCTGTTGTATAAGTGGAATTTGCGTGTCTCACTCCCCGTCGTTGCGTGAAAAAATTTCTGCGGGTCCTCCGGAGTTTTCCCTCCACATTTAGAATAAAAACGCGTTTAAAGTATTTGTCTGCTGCTATGAATTTCCACGTGATAAGCCACTTCCTTGAGCTATCATTTGTGGCCAGTTCACTTCTGAAAAAAAGCTATATAGCAGCTCAGTGGGGCCTTACCTGGTAAAAATAAATAAAATAAATAGTTGAGTTTGTTGACACCGAGCCCCGTGGCACGGCGCGTGCCATCATCGCATCCACTCGGCGAATTTCTCCGCCGCATCCAGCCCCCCCCCCAGCCCCTACCTCCCACCACTCCAACTCAGTCAACGAGCCCGATGCACGGCTGGGAGCCCTGCCACTCACGCAGCCGACTGCTGACTCCGTGTAAATTATAGAGCGCAGCAGACCCACTAATTGGGCTCCTCCTCAACAGAATGAGGGATGCGCGTGTTTGCATTGTCTGTGTGTGCCTGTCTGTGTGTGTGTGTCTTTGTCTGTAGGGGGAGCGGTAGTGTAGTGGTTAGCGCGCTGCGCTACTTCAGTATGTTAAGCCGGAACGGGGGATATTTTTCGTTGCGTGTGTGTCTGTGGGATCGCTGCGCTACGAGCCCAGCTACCCGGGATCGAGTCCCGCTCACGGTCACCAACAGTGACGATAATCTGAATCGGTTCCGGGCCTCCTGTCGACTCAGCCTCAAATGAGTCCGTGGTCGGTGTGTAAACATCGCTACTGGAGAGGCACAGGCGGCCGGGCGTGGTGCTGGCCACCCACTCCCTCGTGTGCCGTGCTGGCCTTCATAGGATCTCGCAAGCAGCACTTGCCCCCAACAGGCTGTTAACGCAAAAGGGGGGTCTTTGTGTTTGTATCCATGCGTGGGGAGCGGTTGTGTAGTGGTTCGATTCCCGGCCAAGTGAAAGCAGAACTCACGTTGGGGCTTCCCTAAAACCTAGGTCGACTCAAACTTTAATTAGTACCCGGCCAAGTGTGTAAACCTCATTTACTGGGGTGACAAAGGCAGCCGGGTTCGGATTTGAATCTGGTCCATTGCACCCTCTCGTGTGCCGTGCCGGCCTTAATAGGTGCTCGCAAAAACTACTTTCCCCAAGAGGTCAATGTAGGCGTGTTCATGTCTGCATGCGCCCGCGCGTATGAGCCAATGTGTGTGGTGGTGTGTCCGTGTGTGTACACGTACGTATGTATGTACTGTGTCTATATAAACCAGAGCCTACATTTACTCGCTTCACCTGCACCCAGAGCTGCAAGTAACCCGCTTCGCGAACCGCCCGAACGGAGTCACTCAGGGCAGTGCGTGGGTGGGAGTCCACTCACCACACCTCGTTCGCTTTTTATTTCACTTTCACCTGGGGCTTTTATTTCACGGCGAATAGGAAACACGTGCCGGGAGCCGGCCTGATTATTCTTCGCGTGCACGCGAATTTTGACCAGAATGGCCACTCATCGTAGAGCACGGTCAGCCCTCGCACGGCCACGGAATGATTGACAGGTAAGGACTTGACTGGACACGATGTCGTTTTTTTCTTCCTTTGACCGGGTGGCGTAGGTCACAAGGTCAAGTTCGACTGAGACAATCATTGTCCCCGAATTATAAAACAGGTGGGCACGGTTTTTTTTTATATATGGAGACTGCCCCTACCACCCCCGCCCTGGCACGAGAACGAGGCATTTCCACCACTGAGCAGTAAGACACTTTGACATTCACCTGCTATCGTGGTACAAGATGACGGCCCTTCCTACAGACGAGGTGAACCTTCCCTGACGGTGCTTCACTTTCCACTTAACACTCCCCTCCACACACTCTACAAACCTCTCATCTCTCTCCACTCCCCTCCACACACTCTACAAACCTCTCATCTCTCTCCACTCACCTCCACACACTCTCCTACCCCTCCCCTCTCATCTCACCCCACTCCCCTCCACACACTCGCCTACCTCTCATCTCTCATCTTTCTCTACTCCCCTCCACACACTTTCCCTTCTCATCTCACTCTACTCCCCTCCACACACTCTACTACCTCTCCCCTCTCATCTTACCCCACTCTCCCTCCATGCATTCTCCTAACTCTCATCTCGCTCTACTCCCCTCCACACAATCTCCTACCTCTCCCCTCTAATCTGTCTCTACTTCCATCCACGCACTCTCCTGCCTCTCCCCGCCCATATCTCCTCACTCCCCTCCACACACTCTCCCACCTCGCCCCTAACATATCTTTCCACTCGCCTCCACACGCTATCCTACCTCTCCCCTCTCTCCACTCCCCTCCACGCACTCTTCTACCTCTCCTCTCTGATCTCACTCTACTCCTCTCCACACGCTCTCTTACCTCTCCCCCCTCATCTCTCTCGACTCCCCTCCACACGCTTTCCTACCTCTCCTCTCTCATCTTTCTCTACTCCCCTCCACACACTTTCCCTTCTCATCTCGCTCTACTCCCCTCCACACACTCTACTACCTCTCCCCTCTAATCTGTCTCTACTTCCATCCACGCACTCTCCTACCTCTCCCCGCCCATATCTCCTCACTCCCCTCCACACACTCTCCTACCTCTCCCCTCTCATCTCAGGGTACTGCGAATCAGAGCGACCGTCCCGGGCCCCGCGCTTTGCGGGGTTTGGGGTGGAACACGGTGTCAGATTTAATACTCACGGTTAAGTTTGAAGGCGTCGGGGGGGTTGGGGGGGGTATACACATCGTGGTATTCCTCGGATCCCTCACTCCACCGTGAACGGCCCTGCTCTCGACTCAATGGTATTGGCTGGCAATTCTATGCAGAGTCTTTGTGAGACAGAAGGGCGCTGTCTCAACCCCCCGAGGAAGGTAGCAAGGGGGTTACAGCCCGCTGACTTTTGTTTCCCGTACTGCTGATGTAGACGCAGAGCAACAACTACAATTTAACATTCAGGCGGTCAAGCCAGATAACCCCGTCAGGAGTAGCGGAGTGTATCGCTGTGATGTCTCCTTGGTGTGTGTCGATAGGGCTGCTGAAACTGTTTCAGCCCGATGCTGAAACTGTTATGGAGATGTATCGTCCATAGTGCCATAAAGTACAGTTAATCATAATCATTTGAAGTTCATTCTGTTTAACCGGGTCAGAACTCAAGAGACCGAGATGAGTCTCATTTGCAAGAATTACCAAAATGTCAAAATCAAAACAAATGAAGTACGGCAATGAAGCAAATAGAAATCAGAGCAAAAACAACGGTGTCACGAGACATATCTGAATGATTGCACTGAGATAAATCAATGTTTTTTCAAAATACGTTTTTATTGGGCATTTTTTACATGTCCGGCAGATTATTGTTCAACTGATCATCATACAATTGCGAAGTTACGTAACAGAAACATTTTAACATATGAACGTATTTTCGGTACACCAGTGTGCGGTATAATAAAAAAAAACACTTATCGCAATTATTATTTATTTTTCCGCGATTCGCAACCTTTGGTCAGAATATCTTGCGGGGTGCGTCAAAATCATTTTTCTTGATGTCGAAGCAGTCGGAATGTTATGAGCAGCTGAACACGGAGCTTCGCAGTCTGTTTGCTGTACAGCACCCAGCCTGATGACCATTGGCTCCGTGTTCCAATGAAAGATTTGACCCCTACCCTAGACTTGGTCGGACGGTTTCTCGTTTTAATGGGCCCAAATCTACGGTCAATATTTGCCTTATTCAGCAACTCTCAGTAGACTGAATAAACCTTCCAATCGCGTCAGACTTGACGACAGGGTAAATGAAAGACTGATAATCAGATTTGTTGATTAAAATGTAGATTTTAGACTGTTTATTGAGAACCGGTGTATTATGCTGTACCGGTGTACCGCGAATACGTCCATATATCGGGTAACAATTCTACGAATGTGTAAACAGACAAGGGTGTATATCAAATACAATCATATTACCTGCACACGTAAGCCAGACCACGTCACCATCATATACCCATCACTCCATTGGCTCAAAATCCAATCCCTAAAACCAACATGAAATGTAAGACCTCATTCCTCATCTTTAATATCTTCCACGGACTCGCTCCTGTCTAACGAGAGATGTTAAGGGCATCACGGTGGTGAGATGATAACTACCTTGCCTAGTATACAGGAGGTCGTGGGTTCAATCTTGACCCTGACGCCTGTATATATCAGAATTTGCATGCTTTCCCCTGTGGTTGCGTGGATGTTCTCCGGGTCCTCCGGTTTTCCCTCCACATTAAGAAACATGCGTGTGGAGTATTTGGCTACTGCTATAAATGGACACATCATAAGCCATTTCGTTGAGCTATCATGTGTGACCAAGTCCCCTCTGAACAAGAGCTATATAGCTTAGTGGGCCTTATCTGGCAAAATAAAAAAGATAGTTACGTTTAGTTTGGTAAATAACCAGTGGCTAACCACACCTGTAACATAACGGCCACCACATGGGTTCGAAAGAAAGCGCGGAAAGCTGTGTGATTGGACAAAAAGGTGATCAATGGATACAAACAAAATCTGTGTGGGACATTTGAGCCAGAAACTCGGTTTTATTTGATCGAATATGCGGGCACCTTCTAGAAATGTGTCTGCCCGAAACCATTTCTACGACAATCAATACATTACTGACGTGTGTGTCTGTTCCCTGATCTGTATAGGTGCGTCTGCTTGGGATAAAAGCAAAGAAGAGAGTCGACTGCGTAACTCAGTGTAAGAGCCACCCAACCTGCTGTGAGATTCTAGGACCAGGAATCATGACTTATTCCTCTTCGAACAACACCACCGGCCACTGCGTAGAGTTATTTGAAAATCAAATTTGCTCCAAACCCAAACTCTCCTACGAGGATCGTATCGTGGCAATGGCCGTGCTGTCTTTTTTCATCTCGGCCACGATATTCGGCAACTGCCTCATCATCACCGCCATCGCCTTCTTCAGGCAACTGCAGACAAACACCAACGCTCTCGCGCTGTCGCTCGCCGTGTCCGACCTCCTGGTGGGGGCCATCATCATGCCGTTCAGTGTAAATCGCTCCGTGTATCAGTGCTGGTTTCATGGACGCGTCTTCTGCAAGGTTCATTTCTTCCTCGATTACGCAATCTGCAACGCGTCCATCCTCTGCCTGGGCTGCATCGCCTTCGACCGCCACGTGGCCATCTGCGACCCGCTGCGCTACGCTCAGCGCGTGACCAGGGGGACGCTGGCGTCCATGATAGTGCTCATCTGGGTGGGTGCCGCTCTCCTCTCGGCACCCATTCTGCTCAGTCTTAGTGAAACGTGGGCCAAGGGAATAATAGAGATCACGGGTTGTCCCGACGGCTGCCACTTCGCCGTTCACGTCATCTTGACGCTCGTCGTGGGCATCCTGCCCTATTTCATCATCATGCTGCTCATGCTGCTGGTGTACGGTCGGATCTACGGCGTGGCGCGCAGGCAGTCGCGTCAGATCAACAACTCCAGAGGCTCGAGGGCGAGCGACGCCGACAGCAGGAGCAAGTGGGTGGCCATGAGACGCGAGCACAGCGCCACGCTCACCCTGGGCATGATCGTGGGCTTCTACCTCGTCTCCTGGTTGCCCTACTTCACGGCGAGCGTCCTCGAAATGGCATTCGGCATCTCGACCAGTGCGCTCGTGTGGGCGACGGTGACTTGGTTTGGTTACGCCAATTCTGTGGTCAACCCGATCCTCTACGCAACATTCAACCGCCCGTTCCGCACCGCGTTCCGCATCATCTTCAGCAGCGAGATGTTCGCCCCTGGGGCCAGAGGCGCTGACCTGCACGGTTTGAAGGTGGCAGGTGGCTGACGTAATATTTAAATTATTTAATATTAATTTTAAAAAATATATATTTTTGGTTATTCAATACATTCTAAATGTTATACGACGTGGCTCATAGCACTTCATGATATAAGCTGGACTTACCTAAAGTCTGGACCGAACCCAAGCACGTTAATGGTGTTATTTGTTTTTATAAATCCGTAACTTAAGAAAAATATAACATGCAGACGCTCATATTAGAAATGAGGGACTTTCAGTCCGATAATCTCTCCAGCTATAATAATAATGCCCCTGAAACTAGAAATACATAATACAGTATAGCTCTTTGACAGTGTATTACTGGATGTAGGCCTACCCACCTGGCCAGAAGAGATTATTAAAGTAGTGGAAGGCTAGGTTTCGTTTAAGTATGACTGTCAGCGGAATTGAATGCAAATGGACATGTTCCTATTGCAGTAAACTAATCACTGTATTCGCAGCCATAAGAATATGGAATTTCCATTTCTGGTAGTTGGCTACAAATATATGATATTTATTCAATTTCTGGTAGTTGACTACAAATATATATTTATTCAATTTTATATACTTCAGCCCCTTGGTGTTAGTTAGACTTTTAACCCTTATTATTATAGTAAGACTTGTTTAAAACTTATTTAAGATTTTAGATTCCTATATGTTGAATGTATGCACCATCCTGCCAAAGTAAATTCCGTGTCGGTGTGAACTTTCATGGCGAATAAAACCCTTTCTGATTCTGATTCTGACACGACACCTTGATCTGACTTGGATTGTTTGAGAGTCTTGTCAATCCACAAGACAACTGTTGTCGACTTTGCACCAAGTCATAAAGGAGATTGGAGATGGTTGAAGTATATTTAGGGTTAAAGTTACTCATTGTTTTTTTCGGTAAAGTCACGTATGTAGAAATATAATAAAATTATATTAAAATAAATCACGACGTTTCGACCGCAACACAAGCGATCTTCATCAGGGTTAAAGTTGTTGATACTAAAACGTGACTTCAAAAATGTTTGATATTGATGCACTCATTATACTGCTTAAGGTGTCATCGCACCTCCAATTAGCACTGTCGGCTACGTATGGGACAAAACAAGTTTATTCAAATGTAGCTGGTATGGGCTTAGTTTGATTAATCACAAGTATAATTATGAATGGAGTTAATGATGACCATGGATTGGACCCATAGAGTCATGTGACTGCACAGTAGGCCACGCCCACCAGTGGAGTAATCAATTCAGGGTACAGGGCATCTATTCAGATTCGGATGGAACGGTTTAGAGGGATTGAGCAGTGAGGTGCTGTGCATGGTGGGGTCGATTGGTGTGCATCTGGTCATAATTACAGATGCACGAATGCTCCTCAGAAGAACACATTCAAATAAAGAGTTGCCGTTCCACAACCCTCAGGTTTCCCTCGGTGGTGGAGTCACTCGATCCTCAAGAGGAAGGCAGAACACAACGCAGAGCATTATTCGCTCATTGCCTCCGAACTGGCCCATTATTGTCGTCTTTATGAGCAGGCCGGTCCCCTCGTTGCGATCACAGGAGGCGAGGGATAGGGCGAACCGGTTACACTTGGTCATTTGGCTGCAGAGAGCTTGCTGTGCAAACGTAGTTATTTTAGCAACATGGCAATAAAGGGACATTGCAACAATCTTTTCAGAAACTAACAGAGTCATAATCATACCCAGCGCATTTGGTATTAGAATCATTGTTGTATCGTGAAGGCAATATGCTTATACTTTAGAAGCTTTTCAGAATATGTATGTGTGATTCTTCTGCTGTAGAATCACAGAGACATCAGGCTGTAAGCAGTGATGCCACATGTGCCTCGCAACAAAAAGTTCCTGGTTTCAATTTCCGACTTTGGCGCCTCTCTGTAGAGTTTGTATGTTCTCTCCCTTGTTCTGCATGGGTTTCCTCTGGGTTCTTCATTTTCCTTTCACATCTAATGAATCGAACAATGGTTACTGATATGGGCCAAACATCCCAATGCAAAATAAAGCACCTGCAAATAACTCGATTGGGATTGCACACAACAGCAACATCGCTCCTTACAGCAATACAAACCTGGCAGGGCGCTCATGTTAAAGAATCTTGAGACTTGGTGAGGCTCCCTGTGGTGTAACTGGGTTCATCGCTTCCGACCATCACCAGCGTAGCCCTCCGACCAACGGACATGGTTAACTGCCAATACAACACAGAGGCGTACCAAGGAGAACTCAATCCACTTCGTTACTCAGGGCAATGTATAGCAACAATTAATACAAACGCGTATGGAGTACAGTCCCACGTGAGCCCCGGTATGCTGTACTCATTCCCCTATTTACAGTACTGTAAATCTAACTCACCCTTCTGGAACTTTCTCAACCGCTCCTTGCCCTTCAGCCGATCCAACGCGAATAACCCGCAATGGGTATTTGAACCGACGACCCTAATTATAATTATCCCTTCATAAATGTCCCCACGCTTTGAGCGTTTTTGAATCGTTCGACCAATCAGCGCCTCCCGTCCACGACTCACCCACCAATCCCGGCGAGCGCTCGCGGGTGGCCAATCGCGCGAGTCGAAGCTCGTGCTTTGACGGCGACAGCCATTGCAGCGTCACAGCTAGGTCAATGGAAGTCCGACAGCACTCAGTACAACGTTGTGGCTGTACGCAGCTACGAAAGTCGTGAATAAGGCGAGATCGCAGCAACCCACAGATATGTACAACAGCACTCGGGGAAACTCTGTAGATGGATAAATGGCAGCCGTGTTCCAGCTGCGTCCTTGGTGCTGGAGCCTGGAGACCTGGCCCGCACCCTCTTCACGCCACGTTCCTATGACGAGGCTCTGCACGCACACACCACGGCCATTAAAACCTGTCCCCCACGTCCTCGCAAGCACAATGTCTCTCACGCCTGCAAAGAGTTTTGCATAAAGTGATGTTGAACTCACTTATGGCTCCGCGTTTTTAATCAACTCCTATGCGTTGCGTTGAACGCTCTTGCTACGTGTGTAGTGGGTTCAAGTGAGACGTACTCTTCAACTCGGAGGCAGCGCATTTTATTCTTGAACACAGCAGGACACTTAACACAACGACCTAGGGTCGTGACCACCCTGGCTAACTACGTAACAACTGCTAACGCGAGTCGGGGCTAACAGCATACTGCCCGGACCACGTGCTTGAAGACTCGCAAACCGTAGAATGTAGACGAAGGGTTTCTTCCCCGGGATGGACAGCCAAGAGCCCTCTCGGGATTCGGCTTAAATTCTCTCCGGCGTGGCCGGCTCCACCCCTGGCCACGCCTCCGTACCCGAACCTTCACGAAGAACCTCGGTGCCATCACGTGACCCTCACAGCCCCCTCCTCGGGGGCCCCTCCGTTGCCTTAACTGGTCACGTGTCCACCCGGGTCAACTAGACTGTCATGGCCGTACCCGACCTTCCCTTCAGGTCGGCACACACCCTGCCTGCTAGGGTCGGTACTGTCCTTACAGCCTGGTGACATCCATTCATGTCATTACCCGCACGCCGTGCGCCCCTAGGGCCGGTACTGCACCCACACCAAAGTGCCATTCAGTAATGCTACAACACACGCACACCGTGCCCCTCTGGGGCCGGTACTGCACCCACAGCATGGTGACATCTATGAAGTCACGACACATGTACTGTTACTTTGGGCGTCATGGTGGCTAGATGTCAACTCTCTCGACTGCTATGCAGGAGGTCGTGGGTTCGATTCCAACTCTGATGCATGCGCGTGTGTAGTTTTCTCCGGGTCCTGCGGTTTTTCCTTCCACATTTTGAAATCCGCGTTTAGAGTATTGGGCTGCTATAAATTTGCACGTGATAAGCTAATTCGTTGAGCTATCATTTGTGTCCAGGTCGCTTCTGACAAAGAGCTACTAGCTCAGTTTCCCGGCCGCTGTCAGAAAGCGATTGGGAACACCCCCATGAAATGGAATCGGCCGAACACCCAGACAAATGCAAGCTGAAAATGATCATCATCATCATCATCACAATCTTCCGTTGGATTTGCTGAAGCGAGTAAAATGAGCCGTAAGCGCCGTGGGATATATCCCATCATCACCTTGTCACGTTGAATCCGCGTGCCCTCAGACCCAGCTAGGGTCGGCTGGGAGACCTGTCACTCACGCGGGCGATTGCTGATGCGTGTAATTATAGAGCAGCCGCTAATTATCTCGTCTTTGTGCGTTGTTGTGTGTGTGTGAATGTGTCCGTACTTGTGCGTGCCTGTGTGTTTGTGTGTCTGGGTGTGTGTGTGGGGAGCGGTAGCGAGCTGCGCTAATATCCCAGCGATCCGAGTTCGATTCCCGTTCACGGCCCTCAACAGTTACGATTATATCAGAACCGGTTCTGGGCCTCCCCTAGGTCGACTCAGCCTCAAATGAGTACCTGATGCGATGTGTAAGCTGCGCCACTAGGGAGACAAAGGCGGCCGGGCGTGGTGTTGGCCACCAATCCCGTCGTGTGCCGTTCTGGCCGGCGCTCGCGAACAGCACTTGCCCCAACAGTCTGTTAAGGCTATACTGGGGGATCTTTGTCTTTGTTTGTGTGAGCGTGTTGGTGAGCGTGTGGCTGTGTGTGTCTGAGTAGGGAGCGGTAGTGTAGCAGCCAGCGCGCTGCGCTATGAACCCGGCGACCCGAGTTCGATTCCCACTCACGGCCAACACCAGTGACGATTATTATAACCGGTCCTGGGCATCCCCTAGGTCGGCTGAGCCTCAAATGAGGACCCGGTGTGGTGTGTAAACATCATCACTGGGGAGACAAAGGCGGCCGGGCGTGGTGTTGGTCACCCACCTCCTCGTGTCGTGCCGACCTTCATAGCACTTGTTCAAATAGTCTGTTAGGCTATACGGGAGATCTTTGTCTTTGTGAACGCGTCTATACCTGCACGCGCATGCGCAAACCTGTGTGATGCGTGTTGGCCTGAGCGTGTGTGTGTGTGTGTACACGTACGTATGTATGTACTGTGTCTATATAAACCAGAGCCTACATTTATTCACTTCACCTGCACTCCGAGCTGCAAGTAACCCGCTTCGCGAACCTCCCAACTAGGGTCACTCAGGGCATTGCGTGCGTGGGAGTCCTCTCACCACACCTCGTGTCTGCTTTTTACTTCATCTGGGTTTAGGTTTATCTGGGAAGAGGAAACACGTGCATGGAGCCGGCGTGATTATTAACTGCATGCACGCGAATTTTGACCCGAACGGCCACTCATCGCAGGACCGGTGGCCGTAGAGCGGTCAGCTCTAGCACGGCCACGGAATGATTGATAGGTAAGGATATGATTGGACACGATGTCATTGATGTTGTTGTTGTTGTCGTACTGTGTGGCGAAGGTCGCGAGGTCAAGCTCAAGTTCAACCCATCATTCATCCGGAATCATAAAACAGCAACAATGTTGTGGCCGTTTTCAATAGGCGCGCCGCCATAGAAAGTGCAACATTTCCACCGCTGGCCCAGTCACGCCGATAGTGATGCGCGGCCATCCCAGGGCTGCTCTGCGCATGGCGGTTACATTGACTCTGGCCGTTGTCATTGCTATAATTGACGACCCGACCTTTGACCCAGCCCTATCCTTGAGCTCCGGTAAGTGTGGCTTCCGTGGGCTGCGTTTTTAACCGTGGCGCCGCGTTGGCAAAGCATAGCTCTGCACGTAGGAGATGTTATTTCCCCCGCCCGGTACGCAGGAGGTCGTGGGTTAGATCCCGGACCTTGACGATCCCTGTTGTATATTTGGTGGCTTGGATTTTTCTCCGGGTTCCTCAGGTTTTACCCTCCACATTTAGAAACACGCGTTTGCATTATTTGGCTGCGACTATAAATCCGCACGTCTCATGATGATTTGACCCGCTTCGATTATAAGTCATCATCACGTGTGGCCATGTCACCTCTAAAAAAAATGCTCAAAGCTCAGTGGGCTTTGTTTGGTTAAATAAAAAATTGTTTAGCTCGGTAACACGTGATGACAACCCTGTCTCTTGTTCTAGGACGGCGTAATTGGAAGACTTCGTCTGCTCTCGAAAGCTCTGTAGGCTTGATCCTCGTCAGAACTCGAATGGGCAAACGCCGGAGCTTGCCAGCTGTAGGCGAGGAGACAGTGCCGAGTTTACCTCCTCGCCTCTGTGTTTCGGTGTCATCAGTCAAATTCCCGAATGCAGGAGCGCCACGGTCGCGAGATGTTAACTAACTCGCTGGGTATGCAGGAGGTCGGCGGGTTCAATCCCAACCCTGACGCCTGTAAATTTGGACTTTGCATGTTCACTCTCCTCGTGGTCGCGTGGATTTTTTTCCGGGTCCTCCGGTTCTTCCCCTCCACATTTATAATCAAAATCCATTCAGACAGCTCTATCCAGAGAGCGCTATCCAGACAGCTCTATTCAGACAGCGTGATAAGCCATTCCGTTGAGCTATCATTTGTGGCCAGGTCGCTTCTGTAAAAGAAGCCAAAGACTCAGTGGGATTTACCTGGTAAAATAAAACTAGTTCAGTATACATGTTTTACTCGTTTAGTTTCATTTGTATATATTTTAGTGATTTGCTTACCTTATACATTGCACTTCCATCGTGTTTTCCATCGTTTGTTGTTGTAACTTTATGACCCGCCTCTACTGGACATCTGTGCAAAAGAGCTTTATAGCTCATCGAATTCCTCCAGTAAAAAAAAAATATTATGATTCATGCAACATATACAGTGGAGTATCCTTGAGACTTGTCAGTTATCAGTGTGATCTGTCAAGCGCCACCCCCTTTAGAGACGTGTTCTGCACAAGACCACCCCCGTCCCGTGTCGGTGGTCCATACACCTCTGATCTGTGTGCTTGTTTGCCGATGGCGCTTAGGTGCGTTTGCTTGGAATTAAATCAATGGAACTGAGTCGGTCGACCCCAGAATCCAGAGAAGCATCATCCGGCGTATGGTGACATTCTAGGACGAAGAATCATGACTTATACCTCCTCGAACAACACCACTGGTCACTGTGTGGAGTCATTTGAAAATCTCATTTGCTCCAAACCCAAACTCTCCGACAAGGATCGCATCGCGGCAATGGCCGTGCTGTCCTTCTTAATCTCGGCCACGATATTCGGCAACTGCCTCATCATCACCACCATCGCCTTCTTCAGGCAACTGCAGACAAACACCAACACTCTCGCGCTGTCGCTCGCCGTGTCCGACCTCCTGGTGGGGGCCATCGTCATGCCGTTCAGCGCCTCGCGATCCATCCACCAGTGCTGGTTCCATGGACGCACCTTCTGCCGGGTCCACTACTACCTCGACTACACCTTCTGCAACGCGTCCATCCTCTGCCTGGGCTGCATCGCCTTCGACCGCCACGTGGCCATCTGCGACCCGCTGCGCTACGCTCAGCGCGTGACCAGGGGGACGCTGGCGTCCATGCTGGCGCTCATCTGGGTGGGTGCCGCTCTCCTCTCGGCGCCCACGCTGGTGAGCCTCGACGAGGCGTGGGCCCGGGGACTCATGGAGATCGCGGGCTGTCCCGACGGCTGCCACTTCGCCGTGCACGTGGGCCTGACGCTCGTCGTGGGCATCCTGCCCTATTTCATCATCATGCTGCTCATGCTGCTGGTGTACGGTCGGATCTACGGCGTGGCGCGCAGGCAGTCGCGTCAGATCAACAACTCCAGCGGCTCGAGGGCGAGCGACGCCGACAGCAGGAGCAAGTGGGTGGCCATGAGACGCGAGCACAGCGCCACGCTCACCCTGGGCATGATCGTGGGCTTCTACCTCGTCTCCTGGTTGCCCTACTTCACGGCGAGCGTCCTGGAAATGGCATTCGGCGTCACGGCCAGCGCACTCGTGTGGGCGACGGTGATCTGGTTTGGTTACGCCAATTCTGTGGTCAACCCGATCCTCTACGCCACGTTCAACCGCCCGTTCCGCACCGCCTTCCGCATCATCTTCAGCAGCGAGTTGTTCGCCCCTGGGGCCAGAGACGCTGACCTGCACGGTCTGAAGGTGACAGGTGGCTGACGCGATGGTGAACGCATGGCATATGCATGGACCGTATTGTGTTTTTTGTTATTAATCATTTGGCATGCGTTCACAATTATCACTATTATCGTAGTTCGTAAATAATGCCTCTCCAGTATCAAAAACTTGGTAAGTGATGCATCGCAACGTTTGATGGTGGATGACGTTGCCCAGAACAATCCGTTTGCTCCTCGACGCATGCAGTTTCAATATATTTTTAGGTGTCGTCACAGTTGCGCTGTGGGAAGATGGCAAAAACAAAAGCATCTCGTGAAATAACACAATGCTGGGGGGGGGGGGGGGTATAGAGCGGATAAGTGACCACTTGAGTGACCACTTGAGTGCAAGTAGAACCCACCTCTCTCATTGATGAGGCGGATCCCTTGCTCCGGGCCTGCGACCTTGATCAGCAAGGTTAACAGTCGTGGCAGCTGGTCGACTTCTGAACGGGGGGGGGAGAGACTCAATAATGGATGTTAATCACAGATGAATAAGCAATCAAAATATATTATTACATAATACCACAAGTGTGATATGCACACTGGCTATTTTGTGTTGAGAAAAAAAGAAGTGCTTTAAAAAAGTTTTTTTTTTAAACAACGGTTTTATTAACAACTACGTTTAAATCACGGTCGAGTAGTGCGTCAATGGCACCTGAGACACCCGGCGCCTGCTTTTTGTGCGAGCCGATTCCACAGTTTAGGGACCGCGGCGTTTTTGACTTACACATATATAAATAATGTGTCCATGCAAAATGTAAATTGCTTTAAAGTAGCGAATTAATTGATTAATTGATGCCGCTTTTATACAGGCATGCATTGTCACCGGATCTGAGTACGTGTGCAAAATGTGGAATTGATTGGACAACGGGAAGTGGACGAAATTTTGATTACAAGATTTGACCACGACAGAGGAATCAAGTTATTTAAAACCGTTGAATATATCCGACATCACGTAACTTTTTATTTATTCATAAATATTCGTGTGTGTCTGTTTAGTGAATATACCGCTAAAACAGGTAGCATGTTGCAACCCATGAATAGTTGCCATTGCTTCAATGTTTGTAGGAACTGATCCCATGTTTACCCACCAACGAGTTTCCCTGAGATCTTCGCATCGCCTCCTTCTGAGGACTCCGAGGTCAAGGCTCTGTTCCTGGGGTCATCGGGCTGCATTTGTCGCTGCGCAACTCCCGGACTGTGGGACAACGCTCTGCCTTTGGTAACTGTTTAAGTTCTGTCTTGGAAAAATCACGACTTTCACCCGGCCTTTACTCCACACCCCCTTCCCCGCTTAGACCTGGCCGGTTAGTCTGCATAGAGCTGTGTGGATAGAGCTGTGTGGATAGTACTGTCTGAATAGTGGTGTCTGGATAGCGCTGTCTGATTAGAGCTGTCTGAATAGAGCTGTCTGGATGGAGATGTCTGGATGGAGATGTCTGGAGCGGATTAAATACATAGAGATACATAGGAACTCACAGGGATGCAGAGACAATCATAATCTTTATTTAGACTGTACAGATCCGATTAGCTATGAAGCTCCTTTTCACAGATGTGAAGTAGAGATTCATAGAGATACATAGAGACACGTAGAAACACATAGAGATCCACAGGTATCCACTGAGATACATAGACACGCACTAAAGACAAGCCACAGTCGTGCGATGGTGGCCATGGAACCGAAACCATGGGCCGTATAGTGCATTGGTTCTCAACCGCGGGTACGTGGACCCCTGGGGGTACGTGACAATGTCCCAGGGGGTAGTTAATGTGATTTATAAATGTGTGAAATTATACCATACACGGGAGTCATTGGTGGATAATCACGTATGAATCTGCCAATAGAAAATAACTACGATAACATTTAAATCCATATGGTAACCTAGAGCGAAATAAAATACCTTTCTAAACTCGTCCATCGTAAACAATGCAGTCTCCAAGAGTATCCAGCGAGCGCGAACAAATTGCGTCACGCGCGCAGAACGTCCGTTGACATTGTTTTAATCGCGTTGCAGTTACTCGCTAGTTAGGGAACCTCACAACATGAACGTTTGGTCAAAATATTGATGTTCACTATTCGTACACTTACTTCTCAGAACCATGTTGGGGCAGGCAAGGGGGTACTCGGTTGAAACAAAATTCAACAAGGGGTGGTACAGTAGCCACAAAAGGTTGAAAACCACTGGTACATTAAACCCCTAGAGACACGTAGAGATGCGTAGAGACTCATAGAGATATATGCAACCTTACAAACCGTATAGAAAACCTACTGTGGTCTGCGCTCCTTCAACGGAGTCGTAGGAACAGCAAAACGTCACGAGGTCTCTGGCTCTGCCCTCCGCTGAAGCCCTCTGGTCGTGGCCAGCAGCAGCAGCTGTAGACTTCCACACTGGAATTGAGTTCCTGAACTCATCGCTGCTGCTACGGCTGCTGCTGCTGCCATCGTGACGCGCGCGAGAAGTGAACGGCACCTCTGCTGAGACATCACACGACTCGCTGTGTCCACGGCGTGCTGAGCCGCAGCTGAGCACTTGGGGCATGGGGGATGGGGGTACACACGTGAGCCGAGCCAACCCGGGGCCCATTCGTGTTCCGCAACGTGGGATTGGGACTGCCACTCCGCCTCGCACATAAAATGATAACCCCCCCCCCCCTCCCCGAAAACTATGTTATATTTTACCAGGTAAGGCCCACTAAGCTTTATAGTATTTTTTTTTAGAAGCGACCTGGCCACAAATGATAGCTCAACGAAGTGGCTTATCAAGTGTGTTCTTTTGTTCATAGCAGTCAACCACTCTAGGCGGATGTTTTTTTTTTTAAATGGGGCGGGAATCATTGGAGTATCGGGAGAAAAATCCACTGTGTTGAGCTATCATTTGTGGCCAGGTCGCTTCTGAAAAATAGCCATATAGCTCAGTGGGCCTCACTTGATTGTAACAAAGGCTCGCTCATCCTCACTGGCATTGAGTCCGGGTGGCTATGGACCCTCGGAGGAGACGGCCCGATGATGTCCGTTGCCTTGGCAACCGTTTGATTGACAGAAGTGCCGAGAGGCTCGGCTCAGCAAAGCGGGCTCGAAGTCTCTGAAGGGAGCGCCGAACCTTCCCGTTGCACAGAGGCCGCCCAGGAGCGTAACTAGCGTGGCGGCTGCAGATGCCTTGCTACAGAGACGAGTTGGGGCGCACCCCTTGACAACCAACACGTGATATGTTTTCAACAACAGTGTAAAGGAACACAACATTGATTTAAAATGCGGTTTAAATATATTTTTGTTCATGAAAATGCTTTCGTTTAGGTTTCACGTTTCATTTTAATTCAATTAGAGCCGCAACGTAATATCGCAGATAGGTGCTCCGCAGCTGTGGTGGTTGCAATGTTCCGAAGAGGGAGCGCCACATACGTTGTTAAATGTTCGAGACCCTGAGCCTAACGAGGATGTGATTAGGCAAGATGAGGCTGCGATCTATAACAGCCTCTAGGTGCGACCGTACGAGAAAAATCAAATATTGATGCCCCCACCTGACCGATTGCCACACCCCACTCAGATGATAATGTCGTCACCGCGTCACTGATGACCTTGTCACCACGTCACTGATGACCTTGTCACCACGTCACTGATGATCTCGTCACCACGTCACTGATGATGTCGTCACCATGTCACTGATGACCTTGTCACCACGTCACTGATGATCTCGTCACCACGTCACTGATGATCTCGTCACGTCACTGATGACCTCGTCACCACGTCACTGATGATGTCGTCACCACGTCACTGATGATCTTGTCACCACGTCACTGATGATCTCGTCACCACGTCACTGATGACCTCGTCACCACGTCACTGATGACCTCGTCACCACATCACTGATGACCTCGTCACCACGTCACTGATGATCTCGTCACCACGTCACTGATGACCTTGTCACCACGTCACTGATGATCTCGTCACCACGTCACTGATGACCTTGTCACCACGTCACTGATGATCTCGTCACCACGTCACTGATGACCTCGTCACCACATCACTGATGACCTCGTCACCACGTCACTGATGAGCTCGTCACCACGTCACTGATGATCTCGTCACCACGTCACTGATGACCTCGTCACCACGCCCACTGAAGCCGCCTGCGTAGCTCACACGGCACCAACACGAGCGCTGTGTGGGTTATGCACAGGCCCCGGAGTGGCCACCCTGGCGGCAGTCCACGGGCCCGGTGGGGCCGCTCCATTCTGAGGGCTGATTGGTCGGTCCGTGTTAGGGAAATTGCAAATGTGATCAGAGTAAAATAAAATGAAATTTATTTTAGAAAATGTATTACCTCTGTGTCCGCTTCATTGCTTATTTACGCTCTCAGTTGGCATTAAGTCCCCGTATATTCGGCAGCCCCAAAGACCCTTCCTCACCGGCTCATTTGTTGTTTTGGACCCAGCTCAAACAGGCCAATGAGATTGCATGGCAAAATCACGCTACACACGTCACATCGCAAATCTAGCTACTAGTACTGCACAGTATGTCGTCAGACCCATTTAACAAAAAATGCACGTAGCCAAGTCCATCATTGGGCTACGCGTCTCAGCGTTTCACTCAGTTGGGCCATGCGGGTCTCAGAGTTGCGCCTCTGGCTATGTCCAGGGCATAAGATCGACTGCTGAGCGTGAACAGGTGTCGCAGAACAACGGCTGCGATGTGGGCAGGATATGGGCGGTACAGCAATGGATTGTTTAACTCGGTCTGCGTGTTGATTCGCATAATAGTGGTTTAGATTAAAGTGAATATATATTAACTGGATGAGGAAGTACATACAAACCTTGCGTCAGATGGTGCTCTCCTGAGGGTTGTTGTTGCCACCTGTGAGTTCTCACCTTGTTAAACAAATAAAAATTTAAATAAAAAAATTCGGAAGAAATTTTGGCTTCATGTTTTGTTTTAAATACCCGGTCATGAGAACTAGACTAATCAAAATCGCCACAGGGCACAAAATTTTTTACCCAGGCTGACACAGTGCGAATTGCTCCCCTTTGCTGCACCCTACTGCTCACTGCTTCCTACTGAACCCACTGCCACTGCTGTCCACCGTTGTCG